GTCACCGAGGGTGGCTCAGGTGACATCAGTGACAGTCACCGGCCACTGTCCCCACCCCGCGCCGGCTCCTTGGGGGTGTCCTGCTGGATGAAGAGCCCTGGGGACACAGAGGGGACACAGAGGGGACACAGAGGGGACACAGGGGACAGCTCAGGCGTGTCCCCAAATGTGTCCCCAGCCCCCCCCCCAGCGTCCCCAAGAGTGTCCCCAGCCCCTTAAGACTATCCCTGCTGTCCCCAGGCTGTCCCCAGACCCCCGAGGTGTCCCCATTGCCCCCTCACCGGTGGCCCTGGCGTGCAGAGTGTCCCCAGTGTCCCCAGGCTGTCCCATTGTCCCCATTGTCCCCTCACCGGTGGCCCTGGCGTGCAGAGTGTCCCCAATGTCCCCAGGCTGTCCCCAGTGTCCCCAGGCTGTCCCAGTGTCCCCAATGTCCCCATTGTCCCCTCACCGGTGGCCCTGGCGTGCAGAGTGTCCCCAGTGTCCCCAGGCTGTCCCATTGTCCCCAATGTCCCCATTGTCCCCTCACCGGTGGCCCTGGCGTGCAGAGTGTCCCCCTCGGCGTCCCTCAGGTCACAGCCCAGGAAGAGTTTCCGGCCCTCGCGGCGCTCCAGGGACGCCTCGAGCAGGAGCACAGAGCGCAGGGGGACAGGCCTGGGGACAGAGGGGACACTGGGGACACCCCTGTCACTGCCATGGCCACCCCAGTGTCCCCTTGTGTCCCCCTGAGGACCCCATGGCTCCCTTGTGTCCCCTCAGTGTCCCCCTGGTCACTGCCGTGGTCCCTTCATGTCCCCTCCCCTGGGGACACTCACGCCACCCCCGGGGACATTTCAGGCACCCTTGGGGACACAGGGGACAGTGCCACTCACGCCACGTAGTCGATGCTGAGGTTGGCTGTCACCACCCGCCCGGCCACCGCCAGCGCCAGTGTCCCCAAGGAGGTGTCAATGAGGGTGGCGATGGCACCGCCGTGGGTCAGCCTGGGGACATCGGGGACATTGGGGACACCGGGGACAGCAGGGGGACATCGGGGACACCGGGGACAGCAGGGGGACATCGGGGACACTGGGGTGACAGACGGATGGCAGGGTGACAGGAGGTGACAGGGGTGCCACCCCGGGTGTCCCTCCAGGAAGGGCCCGGGCTGGCACAGGAGGTGACAATAGGTGACAATAGGTGACAATAGGTGACAATAGAGGTGACAATAGGTGACATTGGTGGCACTCACCCCGGGTGTCCCTCCAGGAAGGGCCCGGGCTGGCACAGGCAGCGCAGGCGGCCCTTGGGGACATTCAGGAACATGGCGAACTCGAAACCGTCCCCGTCGCCCTCGATGGCCCTCGGGAACAGCCGCGTGTCCCCGTCCCTGTCACTGTCACCGGCCAGCCCCGGCACCTCTGCGGGGACAGCGCTGTCACAGGGGGCAGTGGGGACACTGGGGACACAGCAGGGACATGGGGACAGGGCTTTGGGGACACTGCACAGGGGTTGGGGACACTGGGGACACTGGGGACACAGCAGGGATGTGGGGACAGGAGGGTTTGGGGACAGCACTGGGACACTCTGTGGTCACCATGAACTTGGGGACAGGGGGGTCACTGGGGACTGGGGACACCCAGGGGTGTGGGGACACCCATGGGGACCCAACGGGGACATGGTGACACTGCAGTGACGGCACTTCGGGGACCCTGGGGGGACAAGGTGACACAGGTTTGGGGACATCTGGGGACACTGGGAACCCAGCAGGGAAGGGGTGACAGGGGGTTGGGACACTGGGGACCCACCCAGGCAGTGCAGGCAGGGTCTGGGGACACAGGTGACACACAGGTGACACAGGTGACACACAGGTGACACAGGTGACACACAGGTGACACACAGGTGACACACAGGTGACACACAGGTGACACACAGGTGACAGGTGACACACCCCGGCCGTGGTGGCGGGCCCGCCGGAAGGACGGCAGCCGTGTCCAGCCCTCGGCGCTGGCCGCGCGCAGCAGGTGGCCGTAGTGGCGCCGCATGACGTCACTCCAGGCCGCGTTGGGGACAGCCAGGTCCCGCGGGGGACACGGGCGGTGGCAGCGGCGCCGGACACAGGGGACGGCGGGCAGGGGGACACAGGGGACAGCGGGCAGGGGGACACAGGGGACAGCGGGCAGTGCCCGTGCCAGCGCCCGGCCCTGGCGCAGCAGCATGGCCCGGGGACAGCGCCGGCACCGCGGCCACACCTGCGGGGACAGGTGGTGGTGACGTCATCGCCTGTGTCACCCCAGGGGTGACAGCACTGGTGACATCGTGCCTGGGGGGAGGGGGCAGCGGTGACGTCACACAGGGACAGTGATGTCACCGCTAACGGCACACCTGGAGTGTAGTGGCACTGGGGACGTCACACCTGGTCGGTGATGTCACTGCTGATGTCACACTTGGTCAGTGAGGTCGGTGGTGACGTCACACACCTGGTCAGTGATGTCACACCTGGTCGGTGATGTCACCGGTGATGCCACACCTGGTCAGAGAGTGTCACTGGTGACGTCACAGCCGGTCAGCGACGCCAGCTGTAACGTCACACCCGCTGGTGACGTCACCCCTGGTGTCACACCTGCCCCCGCCCTACTGTCCGTGACGTCACCGGTCACCCCGTCCCCAGCCAATGTCACCCGGAGCCCCCTCTGTCCCCCCGCTGTCCCCACCGTGTCCCCCCTCTGTTTCCCCCCCTCTGTCCCCTCTCTGTCCCCTCGGTGTCCCCCCGGTGTCCCCAACCCTGTCCGGACCCGCGCGCCGAGGCCCCGCCCACCGCCGTGACGTCACGGGGCTTCCGGGGCTTCCCCGCTTCCGGGGGCGGGGCCTGAGGGACCGGAACGGGCCCGTGGAACCCTCTGGAACCCTGGAGAGACCCTATAGAGACCCTATGGATACCTATGGAACCCTATAGAGACCCCATAGAGACACTATAGAGACCCTATGGACATCTATGGAACCTTATAAAGACCCTATAGAGACCCTATGGACACCTATGGAACCCTATAGAAACCCTATGGATACCTATGGAACCCTATAGAGACCCCACAGACACCTATGGAACCCTATAGAGCCCCTATATATCCTCTACAGAATCCTATAGGCCCCTATAGGGAACCCCCGGAGCCCTATAGAGGCCCTATGGAAAGCTCTAGAACCCTAGAGAGACTCCATGGAGCCCCTAAGGACCCCCATGGACCCCGGGGTCACCCTGCACAGCTCCCCTATAGCCCCAAACCACCCCGAGTGTCCCCAAAGGGACCCCAAAGGGACCCCAGAGTGACACAGACCTCAGGGGACGGCGACCCCAAAAGGGACAGGGACCCCCAGAGGGTCCCAGGGGGGATGGGGGACCCCAAAAGGACCCCAAGGGGACCCCAAGGACACAGAGCTCCCGTTTAATACAAAACTCCTTTATTGGGGGGGCACCCCCAAGGGGGAGGGGGGACATTGAAGGGGTTTGGGGTGACACCCCCGGGTGGGTGGGGGGGTCAGAACCCCTGGGGGAGGCTCGAGACCCCCGGGGCTGTTTTGGGATTCCTGCAGGGGGGTCAGGGCACACATTTGGGGTTGGGACAGGACCCAGGAGGGGTTTGGGGTGACACCCCTGAGTGGGTGGGGGTCACCCCCGGGTGGGGTTCGGGACCTCGAGGAGGGCTCAGAACCCCAAGGAAGGATCAAGGCACACATTTGGGGTTGGGATCCACGAGGGGTTTGGGGTGACACAGCTGGATGGGTGGGAGGGGTCTCAGCCCCTCGGGGCGGATTCAGAACCCCAAAGGGAGAGGATCAAGGCACAGATTTGGGGTTAGGGGTGGATCCAGGGCGGGTTTGGGGGGTCCCAGAACCCCAAAGGGGGAGGATCAAGGCACAGATTTGGGGTTGGGGGAGGATCCAGGGCGGGTTTGGGGGGTCCCAGAACCCCAAAGGGAGAGGATCAAGGCACAGATTTGGGGTTGGGGGAGGATCCAGGGCGGGTTTGGGGGGTCCCAGAACCCCAAAGGGGGAGGATCAAGGCACAGATTTGGGGTTGGGGGTGGATCCAGGGCGGGTTTGGGGTGACACCCCCGCACGGGCCAGCCCCGGCCCTCAGCGCCGGCCGCGCTGTTTCATGTGCTGCACGAAGTAATCGTTGCAGGCGATGGTGAGCCCGGCCACCAGAGAGAAGAAGCCCTGGAAGCCAACGCGGCCATCGCGGCTCTGCTCCACATCCCGCAGGATCCGGTCCAGGGCGTTGGGGTCACGTTGGTTCTGGGGGGGAAAAATGGGGAAAAAAGGGTCAGATCCTAAATGGGAACAGGGTCAGATCCCACACATCGCTCCACGTCCCACAAGATTCGCTCCAGGGTGTTGGGGTCCTGATGGTTTTGGGGGAAAAATGGGGAAAAAAGGGTCAGATCCTAAATGGGAACAGGGTCAGATCCCACACACTGCTCCATATCCTGCAGGATCCCATCCAGAGCACTGGGGTCCTGCTGGTTTTGGGGGAAAAGTGGGGAAAAAAGGGTCAGATCCCAAATGGGAATGGGGCTGCTGCACGTCCTGCAGGATCTGATCCAGAGTGTTGGAGTCCTGCTGGTTCTGGGGGGGAAAAAAGGGGGGAAAAAAAGGGGGGGGACAAAAAGGGTCAGATCCCAAATGGGAATGGGGTCAGATCCCACACACTGCTCTGTGTCCCACAGGATCCGGTCCAGAGCATTGGGGTCCCACTGGTTCTGGGGGAAAAAATGTTCAGATCCCAAATGGGAACGGGGACAGGTCCCAAATGGGAACGGGGCTGCTCCACACCCTGCAAGATCTGCTCCAGGGCGTTGGGATCCCACTGGGGGAAAATGGGACAATGGGGTCAGATCCCAAATGGGAATGGGGGAAAGGGAATGGGGGGGATCATCCCCCTCAATCCTGGGGATTTATAGGAGCTGTGGATCCCAGTCCCAGGGTTCTATGGGATTTGATCCTGGGGCACTCTAGGGTTTGATTCCAGGATTTTATGGGATCTGATCCCAGGGTTTGATCCTGGGATTTATGGGATCCAATCCCACAGCTCCATAGGGTTCTAGCCCAAGGTTTATGGGATCCCAGCTCAAGGCTGATGTGGTTTGATCCCAGGGTTCTCCAGCTCCCTCTGTCCCATCCCATGGACCCCATGGACCCCATGGACCCCATTCCCACCTCCAGGAACCCCGGGAACTCCTTGTCCATGAGTGCCCTGAGGTCCTCCTTGGCCAGGTGCTCCTTGTCCCCCGCGTATTTGTGGAAGGTGAACATGAGCGTCTCCATGGCGTGCTCCAGCTGGGACGGCATCCTGCCACTGCTGGGAGCCCCAAAAATCACAATGGGGACCCCAAAATTACCATGGGAAATCCAAAATTACCATGGGAAATCCAAAATTACCATGGGAAACCCAAAATCCTGCTAGGAACCCCCAAAATCACAACAGGAATCCCAAAAATCACAATGGGAAATCCAAAATCACAATGGGAACCCCAAAATCACAATGGGAACCCCAAAATCACCATGGGAACCCCAAAATTACCATGGGGAACCCAAAATCACAATGGGAAACCCAAAATCACCATGGGAACCCAAAAATCACAATGGGAAACCCAAAATCACAATGGGAACCCCAAAAATCAGAATGGGAACCCCAAAATCACAATGGGAAATCCAAAATTACCATGGG